CGCAGAGTAGGCACTTGGTACACACTAGTTCCTCATCCCTCCTAATATTCCCACACTAGACATGTCATATTTTTAATCACTTTTAAAGACAGCCCTCTCCATAGCATAGCACAAAGTAACTCAAATTTGAAATGTGCAAGCAACAAAAGCAACCATGCAGAGAAGTTGCCCACCAGACAAATGTTGGAGTAGTAGAGGTAAAATAAGGAAAGGAAGGAAATCAGCCAGGAATATGAGAAATCACCATTTCTTCCTCCTGCCCATTCATTGACTAGTTTGTTACCACTGATAATGTTGGACAAGTGATCAAACTGTATTTCAGAATTTAGGATGGCAAAAAGTTTCCTGAAAGTCCTGATTTACCACTACGAATTTTGATTTTTTTGGTAAGTATTCCAACCACAAACCTAAGGAAGAGTCGTAGCATCCCTTCATCTTTACCAGGAGATCATGAGCCACCTCTGCTACCTATGGCATGTCAAGCTATTCCAAGGGTTTCCACACCAGTCCAGATATGGGGAGATTTGGGAGGTGTACATCAAGCACAACAGTAACACAATATGGGGAAAATGAGAGTTCTATTGTCCAGTGATCACCCAGAGAACCCTGAACATGAACATAGCACAAAATAGCAGCTGACCATCATAGTATGGTGAAAGAAAATTACTAGGTTATCAGTTGTTAATATATTCCTTTCTTTTGCAGCCTTTACCCAAGAACAAAGTATCTTCCTCATCAAGAAGGATAAATGCAACAAGCTACTAATTACATGATAAGCCTGGCCCTGCCCTAGACTAATGTTCCCATTGGTATCTCTACCAGGAGTGCCTTCAACATATCAAGACAAATGGCTTTTAAAAACATCTGGTGCTGAAGCCGGTTTGCTAAGTGAATAGAGTGTCGGCCTGTGCACTCAAGGGTCCCGGGTTCGATTCCAGTCAAGGGCATGTAACTTGGTTGCGGGCACGTCCCTGGTAGGGGGTGTGCAAGAGGAGGCTGATTGATGTTTCTCTCTCATCGATGTTTCTGACTTTCTATCCCTCTCCCTTCCTCTCTATAAAAAAATCAATAAAATATATTAAAAATAAATAAAAACGTCTGTCAATGTTGACAAAGATTTTTTAACTGCATACTCAAAAATATACTGCTTACATCTAAAAATAAATTCACATCTACATAACACTCCTTGTTAACAAGAGATGGTATTTACCTTAAAGGTATAAGACCACTAATTGAGAAGGATTGAAATTATAATAGGAGGGGTAATCAAGGATGCTAAATCTTATAATAGTGTTAAGTATGGAGTAAATATTGAATTTTAAGGATGCTTCCTCTGAATAAAGCTTATTTTTTCTAATCCATCCAACTATAACATATAAAACTCATCTGGTTGTTCCTTTTTCTCAAGATTGGATGAGGCATCTATTATCCTTTGACCTCACTTGTACTCTCAGGAAAAAATGGAAATCACAACTTCTTGCATTACCCCTGATCTTCCCTTCACTCTCTTGCTTTGTTCTCATTGTAATATTCCATTGCCATCTTCCTTCTCATGGCTCATCGCTCTTCACATGTTCTTGATTTTGCATTTTATCATTAATTCTGCCTAACATCCCATTCCCATTTACTTTCCCATGGCTCATCACTCTTCACATGTTCTTTTTAAAAATATATTTTATTGATTTTTTACAGAGGGAAAGGGAGAGAGATAGAGAGTTAGAAACATCGATGAGAAAGAAACATTAATCAGCTGCCTCTTGCACACCTCCCACTGGGGATGTGCCCACAACCCCAGTTCTTGTCAATGTGCCCTTGACAGGAATCGAACCTGAGACCTTTCAGTCCAAAGGCCGACACTCAATCCACTTAGCCAAAATGGTTTTGGCAACATGTTTTTGATTTTGTATGTTCTCATGACCTCTGGAATCTTGCTCTATTTACCCCATTTCTCTCTCCTATACCTTCTTCACCCTTTCCTTCTTCGTTGTCATTGGTTCCTTCACATAAAACTGCAAAAATGTTCAAGTTATTTCACTTTAAAAAAAATCTTCCTTCCATATTTCTCCCCTTGCAATCTAATTTGCTTTCTTTTTTCCTCCCTCAATACAAAAACTCTCTGCAAGATCAAATCTACATTCACTTCCTCTCTTCCTTTATTTTACTACATCCCATTTACTCTCCAAACCCTTACAGTTTGGCTTCCCACAATGACCACCAACATTAACAAATAAAACAACTCTCCCATCCTAATCGATTTGGCTCAGTGGATAGAGCTTTGGCTTGTGGACTGAATGGGGCCCTGGGTTCGAGTGTAATCAAGGGCAGGTTCCTGGGTTGTGGGCTCAATCCCCAGTAGGGGGCGTGGAGGAGGCAGTCAATCAATAATTCTTGCTCATCATTGATGTTTCTTCTCTCTCCCTCTCCCTTCCTCTCTGAAATGAATAAAAAATATATTAAAGGTCACTAAATATCTCTTAAATGCCAAATTCAACAGCCACTTTTCAGTCCTGACCTTTCCTGACCTCTCTGATATGTGTAACTATCAAATCTCTCCTCCATAAACCCTTTATTACTTTATTTCTATTAAATGATTCTCTCCAAGTTCTATTTCTATCTTTCTTATTATTCACTCCTTTTTAGCTTACTTTCTTTGCCTCAGTTTTTACTACCTATAGGGTGTCCCAAAAAATGTTTACACACACTTTGAATAATTATAAAGGCAGTGTTTATTAAAACAAATTTCATTTTGAAAATTGAGCATTCAGTTATTAAAATATATATATATATTGGGGGGAGTAGCACCCTGTATTTTATCCCTTAAATGTTGCTAATTCCCAAGACTCTTTTTTTGTCCTTCTTACACAAGTAATCTTACTCGGTGATAATATTAATTCTCACGGCTTCTATTGCCACCTACATGATGTCACCTAAATCTCCCTTAATTTTTTAATTTTTTTAATTTAATTTTTTTTAATTTAGATTACTTTTATTTATTTTGGCTTTCCTAAATAACTCAGTTTACCTTTTTGCGTGTTTTCTTTGGACAGTATCAAGGACTTAGAAATGATAAAGTCAAACTCTTTTTAGCTCCATATCCATGTATCCAATGTCTACTGGATATCCCTCCCTAATACTCAAGTGGCATCTCAAAGACAAATTACTCAAAACAGAATTATGTTTTTCTCTACAGACACCAACCCTGTTGTTCTCCTGAACAACAGATTAATAGCACCATCTTCTGAAATTAAACAGATGGGGGGTAAAATCATTCATCTATCACACTGCCCACATCCAAAATCTTCCTTCCAGGCAGTCATTGTGAGGTCACTACTTAGACATAGCAGTGTAATCATTATTGGAGTTACATACTAGCCACAATACTACTAGAAAATCAATCAAGGTACACAGATTCCCAGACCCATCATTTGAACATCCTTATTCTACCTTAAATGCTGCATGTCATGAACTCTCCTTAGCCAATTACAATAGCTTCTTTATCTGCCTCTAGTTTACCTTCCCATTCTCCACATTTTCAACATTGTTTTTTAAAATTCTTTGTCCCAAACATACCCTGATTTGAAAACTTGCAATAACTTCTCTTTATGTAGAGAATCATGCCAAACTCCTTCGTATGAAGTACAATGTCTTTATTAATCCTTCCCTTATCTATCTCTCCAGCAGTTACCATGAAGTCATGCCCTCATTCATTCATTCATGATGATCTCTGCCACTGGATTAAGAAATTCCTTGAAGGCAGGGATAATGCCTTATTTCCCTTTGTACACTAGTCTAAAACATGACTAGCAAATAATGGGCCTTCAATAAATGTTGGGTAAACTAATCATATCTCTAAATACACACTTTCAACGTAGTATACATATAAATAAATTGAGATAGAAAAATGCTTTTTAAAGAATTATATTAACAAATTAAAAACTAATAGTTTAGGTGACTTAAGTCTCTGTCAGAATTAACCAAACTTGAAAGACACATGAAGGTCTCAATCAATAGTTACTTACTTATTCTGAATAAGGCATCAAGAATCTGGTGTTACTAGTCATCAATCCAAATAGCATACACTCTACCCCAAAGTAGTATTTGTGTCTATGCAGTCCTCATTAAGAACTTCCCTTTTCCAGAAGTCACTGTCCCTTAAATGGTACTCTTTTAAAATCACAACTATTGAAAATATTCTATATTTTTGTTTTTTACCTCTTACATCATCTCTATTTTTTTACAGAAAATTATACTGCTGCTAAATTTCAATAAAAAACCAACTAGTTGTCAGCAATTTAAAAAAGGTTCTTTCCCCAACCTCCACCCTAAATAGAAAGTTCAGAGGCAGTCATTGTGAGGTCACTACTTAGACATAGCAGTGTAATCATTATTGGAGTTACATACTAGCCACAATACTACTAGAAAATCAATCAAGGTACACTAATCCCTCTGGTTGAGGGACTTTCTCCAAAAACATGATTATTAACCATCAGGAAAAATAATTGGTTTTTCCCTTTCCTTCAGAACAGTGATTTTCAAAGACCACTCAAACTGGTGAACAGCTACTAACAACCTAAAATCGAAAAATAAAGCAGTGGTCTTGCAATGGACGGCATTTATTGGGAGAAGAAATAGGCATATCCATTGAGAGTCTTCAAGGACTGCCTTTTTTATAATCAAAGTGGAAGAAAGTGTCAAAGGGGCTTTCCTTGCTGTAGGAAGTGTTGGGCAGTAAAGATCTCTTTGGAGACAGGTAGTCTCACAAGTCCCTTTCAAAGTTACTATGCTTACCAAAGAAGATGGAATCTGTCTTGGAAACTTCCTTATAAACTTGTTATTGCCTCACATACAGTATATGTATATACTTCATATGTAAAATATATTCTCCTGGCAATGACTTGGGTGCTTTAAAAATAGATTAAATGTTGATTAATGTGTTAAAAAAAAAAAACGCAACAAGCAATCATTTTCCATAAAGATAAATTACATACATATTCAGCTACCTTGTAGGGCTCCCCAAAAAGATCAAAGCCTGAAGAAAAGAGATCGTCTTCTTGCTGGACTTCTTGATTCCTCCGTTCCCATTCCCTTTTTTTAAGTGCACTACGGTCTTGTTCATAGTGACTAAAAAAAATAAAAGGAGAAATTGGTTAGTCAAGTAAGTCATTGAACTCTCCCTTGTTATCTCTAAGAAAAAAGAAATACAAGTCAAGGCTACCAAACTGATATTACATAGAAAGCAGATAATCTTTTTCTTTACTCACATTAGCTTTACGATCCTGGCCAGTTATTCAGAATACAGAAGAAAACAGAACATCGCTTATTAGAAATTATATTTATGACCATATAAGCATGGGAGAATCCTTGTCCCTTATCCTTGCTTGATTACAACAGGCAATTATAGACTTCCCAAAAATCAGTGCTCTGTGTAGAAAGGTACTGAAGGTTACATTGTGTTACGAACTGCTTAGGGTTCAGAATTCACAGATGTCACAAAACCCTAAGGGAAAGAAATTGACAAATACATTGTTGTAGATAAACTGGAAATCTCTCCTGAGGTTATCCTATTGTAAGGAAATCACAGGAGAACTTAAGCACATTTTTGGAAGTCCATAACAAACCAAATTACTCAATCAATTCCACTCCTTATTGTTTGTCTCCCCATAGTCTGCTTTTTGGATGACTGAAAGCCTTTTGGGGAACCTTTTCAATAAGAAAGGGGCCTAGTTTTAACACCAAACTTCTAACAATAAAAATAATGTGTCAGCCAAAACCAGTTTGGCTCAGTGGATAGAGTTTGGGCCTGTGGACTGAAAGGTCCCAGGTTTGATTCCAGTCAAGGGCATGTGCCTTGCTTGCAGGCACATCCCCAGTAAGGGGTGTGCAAGAGGCAGCTGATCAATGATTCTCTCTCATTGATGTGTCTAACTCTCTATCCCTCACTCTTCCTCTCTGTAAAAAAATCAATAAAATATATTTTTTAAAAATGTGTCAAAAGCCTTGAATAACTTTAACACAAAAAATGTTTAATAAATACATGTAATTCTGTGAAGTTCATCACATTTCAGGCTTTTTCATTGGAGGATCAGTAGAAAAGTTTCCAGACAATATCTAATATATATTCTGGGTCTTTGGATTTTATAGAATGCAATGCTTCCTTACTAAAAAAAAAAAATTTCTTTATCATGTAAGGCTGATATTAATATCTATCTATTAATATATAAAAGCCTAATATGCAAAGTTCCCCTTGGGAGCTCTACCAACTAGGAGTTCAATCACTCACTGTGACATGTGCTGACCACCAGAGGCGGTGTGGTACAAAGGAAGGCCCCAGCTGGCAGCCAGCAACTGGCAGCCAGGGAAAGGCCTGGCTGGTAGGCTGCAGCCACTAGGGACCCTACCCATGCACACATTTCATGCACTGGGCCTCTAGTTAAACTATAATATTTAAGTCTTACAGTACTGGTTTTTATTTTGTTTATTGGGTTCCCATTCCCCCACCTTCCTGCTTTTGATTGTAAACTTACCCAAAGTGAGTACATATATGCTAGCCAAATTTAAATTATATGCCTAGTATGTACTCTATACATGTTGCTTTCCTTCTAACATGTCAATACTGCAATGTTACGACTTAATTAGATAATCAACATACAAATGAACAGCTAAGGAAATTATGAGATATACTAATATAAAAGTACAATCTACAAGGGTTTTTTTTGTTTTTTTAAATTTTTAAAAATAAATCTTTATTGTTCATATTATTACAAAAGTTCCTCATTTTTTTCCCCTCCACCAGGTTCCCACCCCACCCTCTGCCCTTTCCCCACCCCCCACTGTCCTCATTCATAGGTGCATAGTTTATGTTCAGTCTCTTCCTGCACCCCCCACTCCTCTTTCCCCTGAGAATTGTCAGTCCACTCTCCTTCCATACCTCTGATTCTATTATATTCAATAGTTAATGTTGTTCACCAGATTTTTTAATTCCTTTGGTTTTTAGATTCATTTGTTGATAGTTACATATTTGTTGTTCATAATTTTCATCTTTATTTTCTTCCTCTTCCTAAAGAACCCCCTTCAGCAATTCATATAATTCTGGTTTGGTAGTGATGAACTCCTTTAACTTTTTTTTTTTTTTTTTGTGAAGCTCTTTATCTGGCCTTCAATTCTGAGTTCAGCTGTAGGTGCTTGTTATTCATCACCTTGAATATATCTTGCCATTTCCTCTGGCCTGCATGGTTTCTGTTGAGAAATCAGCTAACAATCGTATGGGTGCTCCTTTATAGGTAACTACCTGCTTTTCTCTTGCTGCTTTTAATATTCTCTCTTTGTCTTTTGCTCTTGGAATTTTAATTATGATGTGTATTGGTGTGGTCCTCTTTGGATTCCTTTTGTTTGTGGTTCTGTGCACTTCCTGGACTTGTAAGTCTATTTCTTTCACCAGGTGGGGGAATTTTCTGTCACTATTTCTTTCAGTATGTTTTCGGTATCTTGCTCTCTGTCATCTTCTGGGATGCCCATAATTCTGATGTTGGTTTGTTTGTTTGAAGTTGTCCCAGAGGTTTCTTACACTATGTTCAACTTTCTGGATTCTCTTGTTTCTTGCTTCTGCGGAGGAGTGTCCTCTGGCTCTTTGTGTTCCAAATATTTGACTTGATTCTTGCAATTTTCCATTCTGTTTTTAGGACTTTGTGTAATTTTTTTTTTTTTTATTTCAGAGAATGTATTCTTTATTTCCAGTTGATCCTTTATTATTTCTAGTTGATCCCTTTTCATATCTTCATAGATCCTGTTTATTTTATCGACTTTTTCTAGGAGATTCTTTTTTTTAAATATATTTTATTGATTTTGTACAGAGAGGGAAAGAGAGAAATAGAGAGTTAGAAACACATGAGAGAGAGTCATCAATCGGCTGCCTCTTGCACACCCCCTAGTGGGGATATACCTGCAACCAAGGTGCATGCTCTTGACTAGAATCAAACCCGGGTCCCTTCAGTCCCCAAGCCGACGCTCTATCCATTGAGCCAAACCAGTTTAGGCATTTCTAGGAGATTCTTGAAAAACCTTATAAGTGTGGTTTTGAACTCTATATCCAGTCACTTTTTATCCTCCATTTCTTTCGTTTGTGATCTATTTCCTTATCTCTTCGTTTTCGCTGCTTCCCTGAGTTGGTAGGGTGGGAGGATCAGCTGTATCTATGCCAGGAGACAGCCTTATTCGACTAGACTTGGAAAACTGCAAGAGCCTCTGTGCTCAGCTTGGATGGGGCGGAGTTTCAGGGTGGAGTCTACAGCCTTGGCTTCTGGTTAGCCCCACCCTATGAGGTTCCTGAGTCTCAGTGTTCCTAAAGTGTCCTTTGGTACTCGCTGCAAGCACCTCTGAGATAAAGGTGCCCTGGAGTTTTGTCCACTGCCAGACAGTCTAGTCTCTCCCCCAATGAGCTCGCTACTGGGGTTCAGTGCAGTTGGAAGTGGGGTTAAGAGCAGTCTGGAGCTTATGTCTCCTTATAGCTAGGGCAATCTAGCGGCTCAATCAACAGTCTGTCCTCTGTGTGAAATGTGCGCAACTCAGGGGCTCTGCCTTTCGCTGCTCCCCTGAGCTTCCGCCTTACAGCCCAGATTCCCTCTTTATGTGTCTGGGTCCCCAGAGTTTCGCTCAGAACTGTGGTTCAGTGCTGTCAGAACTGGGGTTCAGCACAGTCCGGAGCTTTTATCTCCTTCCTGCTAGGGAACACCAGCCAGGCACTCAGCCTCCCCCTCCTCTCCGGCTCCGTCCTCTCCGCGCATGCAATGTGTCTCCGTACCTTAGGCTTTTACAGCTCCTCTGATTTTCCTTCTGGTAGAATTTCCAGTCAGTCAACTTTCTTGTAGTTCTGGATAATGTCCACTTTATATTTAGTTGTATTTTTTGAAATTGTTGTGAGAGGCTGCAGTTAGGCGGTTACCTATGCCGCCATGTTGGTTTCTCCTGGACAATGTTCCAATCTATAAGTTTTGAATGCACCCCCAAACTTAATGCCCATCGCTGGTAAGCTAGTTTGTCTGTGAGTATCATAGCTTCAATTTACAAATTAAGAGCCCAAGAACATGAAATATCTATGGCAGATAACTAGATATTGCTATACATGGAAAATAAGATGCCAATACACTTAATCATCATCAGCCTTTCTCCACAGGAATCCTTGAACTGACAATTTTAAAGTGATTTTGATAGTCTCATCTACTTGATACAAACAACATTTTATTTCTTTGTTTTAAAATAATGGCAACTTTTATAGGATGTTTTCATAATACAAAGAAAGTCAGATACATAAGCCAATCAATGAAAGAGAAACACCACATGACCTCACTCATTTGTGGATGATAAAGAACATTATAAACTGATGAACCAAGAGACAGATATAGAGACAGTAAAGCAACAGGCAGACTGTCAAATTACAGTGGGGAGGGGAGGAAGATCGGGGAGATAATAGATCAACCGAAGGACTTGTGTACATGCATATAAGTACAACCAATGGACATAAAACTCTGGGAAGGGAGGGTATGTATGCGAGGGAGGGAGGGGGCAAAAAAATCAATAAAATATATTAAAAAAATAAAATAAAATTGAAATAGGAAAAAAAAAAAAAAAAGAGTTCACTTGGCCACTCATGAGTGTGCTCAACAAATGTTACCCTGTCTAAAAAAAACCACAAAGAACATACAGGCCCTGCTCAGAATGATGCCAAATCCAAATATGATACTTTGAAGCTGGTCTCCCTTTACATTTGCTAGCATCATCTCACATTTCCATTCACAAGTTGAGTTCAGAACCCAAACAGTTGCCATGTGTTACAATTTCTTTGTCTTAGAGATTGATATAGAATCAACCAGGCATAGTAATATTTTCAGTCCACGAAGTGTGGTACATGAGATTCAACCTCACACCATACATTGGCTGTGAGTAACCCAAGCTCATAATCAATTTGTCAAGCTGTAAGCAAGATAGGATGTCAGGGGTCAAGGTGGAGGGAACAAGTTAAAGCAGTATTTAGTCAGGGTGTGAGGAGGGTTTGTTACAAAGGAGAAGGACACAATTTGTTTGCCTTCCAGAGCAGATGATTCTGAATACACAGATAATCACAGGTAAGAGC